TTGCGCTTAATTTCATGATTTAGCTGTTAGCAGTACATCTATCTACAGCTTAGTTCTATGATTGCGGACCTTGCAGTATAGCTGCAATAGGGCTCCTAACAGCGTACTTGCAATAAGACCAGTTGATAAAGCCTTTAACAAATGAAGTGTTGGATGTGGTCGCGAGCCGTGTAAACGTCACCTGATACTGCCTTTTCTCGTTCAGCCTTGAGAAATTGAGCGTCTCCGGCTCGACAAGGACTTTGATCCCAACTGGGGGGACAACAGTCACTTTGTAAGTTGATTTAGGGAGGCCGACATTTGTTACCGTCCTAGTATACTTTTGAGAAACCGGCTCACCACCTGTGAAATTAAGGACAAACGATGGATAGTTTAGCTGGGCGTCAGGTATGCTTCTCACCTTCGAGCAATCCACCTTGTTGTGCTTCCAAAACAGACCGACTTGTGTGTTTGTGTAGTTCAATCCGCACAAGTAAGGGATGTAATCTTTGGGTTCGATGTCGTACACGAGCCCTGGATCATTTGCTGCCTGTGGATTCACGTGGCCTGAACCTGTTGCAAAGATGTCGGCTTCTTGATAATTTGCGTCCTCGATTGGCTTCCCTGCACGATTCACAACATCTGCTGTGGTTATGATTGCCGACTTGATTACAGCGGGTGACCAATCAGGATGTGTGATCTTGAGCAGCGCTGCCACTCCACTGAGGTGTGGGCATGACTGAGAGGTACCAGACAACATATCGAATGTGGATTTCTCATTTGTTTTGTTTTCGAGAGAGATTGGCCACGCCGCCAGGATATTTACACCTGGGCCTAAAATATCTGGCTTCAAAATCCCAGGACTTGCAATGTTAGGTCCTCTTGAAGAAAAGGCAGCAACAACTGGTGCATGATTGTCGCCAAACAAGGTTCCTTGAAAAAATATCTTTGCCTCGGGTTTCGCCCTCGAGTTGATATATCTTTTAACCTCCAGACCATCCTCATAATCGATGTTTGCAGATGGGAGTGAGTTACCTACTGCCGTTGTAGTGCTCTCCACGTCCTTCACATTAACCAGGATTAAGGCAGCACCACCAAGGCTTTTAATCGCAGCTGCAGTTGCTATGTCAGGAATTGGATAGTCACACACGACTATCTTCCCTTTCACCTTGCTTTTCTCCAATGAATCATGACTTGTGCAGTTTGGAGCATAAACAAGTGGCAGAAATTCCTTCTGGAAATCCTTTGGTTGGTAGGCTCCCTCGCCATTGAACCACCGGCTCGTTCTGTTTTGCAACACTACAGTTGCCCTCAACTGCCTGTCCATAGTACTCGCACCAACAGTGAGAGCCCAGGGCACCCCATTAAGTACATTATAGTATTCAGGGCCATGGTTTCCCGCCGAGAACCTGAGAACGATACCACGCTCCATCACCTTGAAAGAAGCTATCGCCATTGGGTCATCATAGAATTGAGGTTGTGGTGAAGTGCCAAGTGAAATGGAGAGCACG